TCTGGGACCATCAATTTTAACTGCATCAAATGACAGGCCTTTTCCATCCCATTAGAAATTAACTATATATTCTACTCTCCTGATAAGAGTCCTCCCGGGGTAATGGGCCATCTACCATCCGTCCACCAGCAGGCATTAGAAATCACCCTCAGTGGTCACTGGGTGATGGGGTCTACCACTGCAGAGTTCCGTGACCACTTCCCTGCTTGGGGCTGTCAGACAACAGCACAGGATTGGACCAGAGGCCACGTTCCCAGGGCTGCTCTCAGTTTGGGCTTTTAATGACCACATGGGCTTGGGCAATCTCAAGCCTCATTTCGTCTCAACTGCAAAATAGAGACTTTACTTACTCCCTTTACTGGATGATTAAAAATAATGAATATAGCAAATATGGTCAGAGCCTGGCACTTAAGAGGTCCTGAGTTCCTGTGTGTCCACCGACGTGCCAGCCACCACAAGGCAAGACGATGAAAGTCTTTGTTGCAATCGATGAAGGAGTTTGTAAATAGCCACCAAGCGTGGTGCTGGCCAGGTGCACATGAACAGTAGAGACGAAATGACAACATCCACAGTGACTGGGGAGGGGTCACACACACAGATGGACCTGAAGAGAGCAGGCCCCCTCTGCTTGCAGTCCTGCTACGTCCCAGGGACACAGCTATTGACAGGAAGCACTGGTCACATTTTCACCACCCCTGCCACTTCTGGGTGCACGTGCTGGGGCCTCTTCAGGATTTAAGCTGTAGGACTCTCTGTCCAGCCACCTAATAAGAATGGCTCACAACGCCTGTGTCTGTCTGCAGGGCTTCCTGAACCGCGTCCCATAAGAGGGCCTCAGCGGATGCTGTTCATGAGGCACTTGGGGACCCTGCGGGTGAAAAGAATCGGGCTTGGCAACCATGAAGGATGAAGGCCGCTAATAGCATGTGCAGCCACGGGGGGTTGTCCGGAACGCTGTAGACAAGGTTCCTTTTTCAGTCAGGAAAACACAAACAGTTCCTCTGAGTTTTAATGAGCAACACCACTGTCTGAGGCCCTTGCATGAAGGCTAAAAAGCTTTGTCAAGATGGGAGCCGGCTGGCTCACCCTCAAAGCATTTGGTCGCTTCTCTAGGACAGACTGGCACTTAGAGCTGGTGCCGAGTGGAACTTGTAAATCTCACACAAGAGTTCTCCACCATCGAGCGGGCTGCTTGCTCGTCGACTGAGAAGAGATACATTCCACCGCAAGTTAGTTTTTGAGGGAGAGAAACAGAGTAGGCAGGCTGATGTGCTGGGGGACGATGAGAGGGGGCGCGTGAATGTGTGTTTATTTGCTGTGTGTGTGCATGGGAGAGTGTGCGTGAGGGTACGTGTTGATGGAAGGGACGTATATGAGGAAAAAAGGTACACCTGTGTGAATCTGTGTGAATACAGTGTGAGGAAGTGTGCTAGAGGTGTATGTGTGCATGAGAGTGGTGTGTTGTGAGGGTGTCTGCTGTGTGTGTGAGGGAGAGAGGCACTGGGTATGCGTGACAGTGTGTGTGAGATATGTGTACGTGGGACGTGGAGTGTGAGGGGTGCGTGAGAAAGTGATGTGAATGTGTGTGTGTGTGTGAGGGGGTGAGGGAAACCCGCATGCAGGTGTGTGTGTGTGTGTGTGTGTGTGTGTGTAAGAGAAAGTGAAGTATGTGTGAGTGTGAGAGGGAAAAGAAACATGCATGCAGGGGTGTGTGTGTGTGTGTGTGTGTGAGAGAGAGAGAGAGAGGGTGTGTAAGAGAAAGTGAAGTATGTGTGAGTGTGTGTGAGGGTTGTGTGAGAGAGGGATGTGTGTGTGTGTGTGTGAGTGTGTACGAGATAGAGTGAAATATGTGGAAAGTGAAGTATGTGTGAGTGTGTGTGAGGGTTGTGTGAGAGAGGGATGTGAATGTGTGTGTGTGAGGGTGTACAAGATAAAGTGAAATATGTGTGTGAGGGGTGTGTGAGAGAGGGATGTGTGTGAGGACACATGTGAGTGGTGTTGAGAAAGTGAAGTGTGAGAAACGTTTGTAACAGGGTATGAATGGGAGTGTGAGAGATGCCTGACAGGTGTGTACATGCGAGTTCTATGTGGATGGGCTGTAGGTGAGTGTGAGGTGTGTGCGAGTGTGTGAAGAACATATGTAAAGAAAAAGAGGTGTGTGTGAAGGATGTGGGAGAGGTGTGTGTGCATGCATGTGTTTGAGGTGTGTGGATGTAAAGGGGTGTGTGTGTGTGTGTGTGTGTGTGAGTATGAGAAGCCTAAGAGAAAGTGGTCAGTGTGTGAGAGATGTGTATGAGAGACAGAGGAGGGGGTATATGTACAAACACACACACACACACTCTCTCTCTCTCACATGCATTTGAGACCCATGGTGGGGTCCAGGGTCCTGTGACTTTGGACTTGGTGACCGAGAGACTCAGAGTCACATAACGCCTGGTCCTCCACAACCCTACCTCAACAAATAAAACAAATTCTCCCCATTTGAAGGGACTTCAAGAACATCAAACCCCGATCCTTTGTCTCATTACCTCGATGAGGGAACAAAAAGCTCAGAGAGCTGAGCGGCTAGTCAAGTTCGCTGAGCTAGAAAATCAATGCGGGCAACTCTGCAGAGAGGTGTTGAGGCCTCCTCGGCCTCTGCGAGTGCCCATCCCCTCAAACAGCGGAAGGAGCCCTGAGGAACGCCACAGGGAGTCTGAGAGAAGTCGACCCTCAGGAACTCAGGAAATAAAGACACACTGCTTGTCTCAAACAATGAGTTCAGGAGTAGTCCCTCCACAGGGTCCCGAGAAAACCCTTCTGGGTGTCAAAGACAAAACTCCTTTGGGGGACTTGGCCCTGCACTTGCTGCCCTCTGTGTGGGCAAGCAGGACCGGGCTGGCCTTCTCCTAGGAGGCCCTTTGGTGGGAAGCACTGTAATTCCAAGTTATTATTTCACAGTGCGGAACAGAAGCAGAGACAGATGTTCTTTGATTTGAGAAGAATACAACGCAGCTGTCTATCATCTAGAATCTTCCTCAATGACGAAGGTGAAACGCTTGGCTCAAGCACTTTCTTTATGTACTAAACTGGGAATCAACTTTACTCCACTGAGGGCGGCCTGCTATCCTCCTTGCCAACAAGTCTGTAGGATTCAGAGACGTGTCAACTGTTTAATCAATCTAAAAACCATGTCAAAATTTCCTTAAGAATCTCTCAGAGCGTTCACTACATACACACACACACTTGTTAAAATTAATTGCACCATTTAACATTTCTATGCATATTATAGTTTTAAGATGTTTTATGGTCATTTTATTCATTAATAAAGCCTTAATGGACGGAAACCATGCTGTAAAATTATTACACAGATGTTGCCTTTTCAATTCTGCTACTATTATCTTTAAATATTTTCCCCAAGTGGAAAGTCCCTAATTCTTAAACCAGAGCCTATCTCAGGAAAACTGAGCATCAGAAGTTTACACAGAGAACTCTGGCTTGTGCCTGAGACCCCCCAGAAAGGAGAGCTGTAGCCTGGGCAGCTGACCAAGGCAGCCTACCAGGGCCTAGTAAGGGCAGAGAGAGCATCAGATCCCACAGTGAGGCCTTACAAGAGAGATGGGCCCAAGGAGAAGAACACGTGGCTGGTACGTGGCACCAGGAGGGTCTGCCTTACCTCACTGGGTAGGAGTGGTGGGCAATCATGAGAGAATCTGTGTGCATGCATGCGCACACACATTGAGACATCCTCACCACAGAAATTATGCCAACTCATGGGGACCCCCCACCCCGGGGGGATTTTCAATGATCAACTTCTTTCTTTTTCAAATCAATCACCACGACTCCTTTCTTCCTAACCAAGCTGAGTGTACTTGAACATCAGAGCTTTTTAATGAGCAGTGAGCTTGTTAACTGTTAGTACCCCTGTGAGATAGACAGACACATCTGCACACCTTCCTCTCACACGCTTTTTGACATGTTACAGCAGGGATCAACCCCTTGAAGGCCATCCGACTTGCTCAGGTTGGAGGTCAATGGCAGAGAGGAAGACCCTCGTGAGGCGGCCTGGCACAGCCGCTCTAACAGCGAGGTCAAGCAGGCCGGGACGGTGAGCAGAGCTCCTGTTCTGTTGACGTGAGGGCATCGTGAGTCAGAGCTGCCTCCAGGGCACCTCACAGCAAGAAGAAGACACTATGTGGTCCAATCAAGGTGACCCTCTGTGTTAGGACTGCTCCCCAGGGCTTCTAGGGCTCTGCCCTTCCAGAAGCCAGTTCCAAGCCTCTCTCCAGCATGCCGCTGGGGAGCTTCAAAGTGTGTGTGGAACAACTCCGTGCAAAGCTGGACCGCTCAGGGGCTACTATGCACACAGTGTGCCCGTGCGTGTGCACGCGGACACATTCACACTCATACACTGTACACCCAGCACACGCACACACGGACAATCACACACACACAGCTCATGGAACACAAGCTCACACGCACTTGCACACACGTCCATGCACACGTACTGCGCACACTCACAGTGATGCACCCAGCACCTGCCCATATGCACACGGTCTCACACACACTCACACACCATCATGGACCACGCACGTCTGGCCTCTACGGCCAGCTCCCAAGGGGAGGGCACAGTCTCAAGGAACCACCCCACTTCCACCAGCAGCTGTGGTGGCACAGTCGTTAAACCGGCTGCTAAGCAAAGGTTCCTAGCTCAAGTCCACCGGCCGCTCCAGGGAGACAGATGCGCAGTCCGTGTTCAGACAGACGACCCCTAGGTCACCCTCTGGGCACTTCTACACTGTCCTACAGGACCAGGTGGATAAGGGCCAGAATTGACCACACCACCATGTGCTGCCTCTACTCCTTGCCAACAATCTAGAAGGATCCTTGAAGACAAAGATCTGGATGGTGGTGTCTCATGTGTCAACCAGACACCCAGGAGGCCTGGTGGTGCAATGGTCAGAGCAACCCCGAGTGAGGCTGGGACCAGCACCTGTGTCCGCCCCACCCCGGCCACTCACCTGCTGCAAAGCTCCAGCCTGGGATGTGGATAGTCAGCTGACCAGCATGGCCGGCGTGGTGGCTGGGCCTGTGGTCCCCACTCCCTTCTCTCACGGTGGTACGGTCAGTGCCCAGGCCCGTGAGTCCTGTTTTTTCCAAGGCTGGTGGGCTGCTCCAGGGACACGTGCTGTCCCCGAGGTGTGCCTGCGTCCATGCTGGGTGTCCCTCCTGGTAGCTGTCCCTCAGCCCTGGAGTCCAGCTGGGGCCTACAAGCCTCTGCTTTTCCAGTGTGACCGCAGACCCCAGGGCGCTGCCCATTGGCTTCTGGTTAGCCAGGCCGTCGTCTCCCTCTGGTGGTGCCGTATGGGAACTGCAGTTCAGGTGCAGAGACAGGACAGACCTGTGCACCTGGGGGCTGGCCACCACAGGTGGCTCGATGGGGACCGAGAGTGACTTGTCCAGGTAGTACATGGAACTGGAGCACGGCTGAGACACCCGGAGGTGGACACAAGAGCTGAACATCAGTGGGCCCTTCCCTGCGGGTAGGCTGCCCGGAGAAAAGCTGTTCTCCCCGCTGGGTCCCCTGGAGACCCAGCACACACGTTCCTCACACGCCCATGGCTGGGCCTCGGGGACCCTGAGCTGCACTGCGGAGCCAGTTCTGGAGAAGGCTGTGTGTGCCAGGGGTCTGCAGGGATCTCCGGCAGCCCTGGCCAGAGGAGATGGGTCCATGAGCTGGGTGTCCCCTGCTGGGCACTGGCGACACAATGGATTCCTCATGTCCTTCCACAGCAGCGTGCTGGCTGGGGGCCCCACACGCCTGGCCGTGACAGTGATGGACGCAAATCCTCGGTGGGGTTCCCTCCAGGGGATTTTCTCCTGTGGTGGCCACTCGGCCCTGGGTCCTGGCACGTGGGCAGGTATCTGTGTCCCCAACCTGCTGGGAAGGATGGACAGCGCCCTGTGGATGTCCACACCGCTGTGACCAGCCAGGCATGGCGTCCGATGGTGCATGCTGGACTGGGCAAGGGCACGCCGGGCGGGCACCACGGCCACCCCTCTTCTCGGCTCCTTCTCATCCGTGAGCTGTGAGATGGCTAGGGATGAAATCACTTTCATATCTTCCGATCCAAGAGGCTCCTGCAGATAGAAAATGATCCCGATTATTCAAGTAGTCTATTATAACGATAATAACTGACAGTAAAATTACTGTTACAATGTCAATGCTGACCCCTGGTAACCCTGGAGGTCAGAGCAGAACTGTCGCCTAGGATTTCCCAGGAGCAGCTGGTGGCTCAGCACATTACATGTTGTGCTACTAACAGAAACGTCCATGGTTTGAATCCACCAGCTGCTCCTGCAGAGAAAGATGGGCAGTTTCCTGCCATAAAAATTTCTAGTCTCAGAACTCCTATAGAGAGTCACTACGAGCCCAAATTCTCTCTGCAGCCTGCTTTTGGTCTTGTTTTGTCTTCTTCCTTGAAGGTGACTAGGGCTTCAAACTGGTTCTTTCTGGTTGTACCACCTGCTGAGAACTTGCCTTCCCAGCCCACATATAACCGGTCAGAATCTGCATCTTTACAAGTGCTCCCACTTGGATGTGCGTTGATTATCCCTGCATAAAATGACTGAAGCTTCGAAAATCTCTAACTAGGAACTTCCACAGTTTGCAAAGGCTTCTTGTCTGGGAGGCTGGAGGCATAAATAGTGCAAAGCACTGAGATAGCAGCTTTCAAAGTCCATGTGTACAACGGTGTTAGGGGTCCAAGTCAGTCCGTTCTCCTACAGGCCCCGTGTGTGAATGCATCCTCTCCTGTTCCTAATCGGCTGTGCCTGAGGCCCGCCGTGTACTGCTGCAGCCACTGTCTCCAGCTTGGGGAGGATTCGCTTCCTTTTCACTGACTCTCTCCTTAACAAGTGTGATGTCCATTTGAGAGTGATGTCCCTTTGAATGTGATGTCCTTTCGAGGGGTTTGGCCAGATAGCATATCCAAAGATCACTTCTAAGGAGCATTCTGGTGGCTTTTCTTCTAAGACAGATATGTGTGTACTTGGAACAGTCCATGGTATATGCAGTCTTCCTCAGGGATACCACAACTTCAGTGCATCCTCAGTCTTCCTCATTAGTTGTTCAGCTCCCGCACGCACGTGAAGTGACCGAGAACGTCACCAATTGTGCCAGGCACACCTTAGTCATCAAAGTGAGACCCTTGCTCCTGTCACACTTCTGAGAGGTCTTCAGCAGCACATTTGTAGCAAAGCAACACGTCTTTTGATTTCCTTTTTTTTTTTAAACTTTTGTTGTTGTGTACCATCGAGTTGGATCCGACCGGCACAGGAGGAGATTGTCTCCCTTCCTCCAGCGGGGCTTCTGGTGGATTTGACTTCTTGACTGCTGTTTCCACGGGTGTTGATTCTGGATCCAACTATAACGCAATCCCCGACAACTTCAATCGTTTCTCCATCCATCGTGATGCGTACTGCTCCAGGTGTGAGGGTCTCTGGTCTCCTCATACTGACGTGTCCTTTATACTGAAGGCTGTGTCTTTGATCTGTTTCAGTGAGGCTCCAAGCCCGCTTTGCTTTAGGCAAGGAAGGCTGTCATCAGTGTTTCACTGGTTGTTAGCGAGTCTTCCTCCAATTCTGATGTCAGGTTCTTCTTTATATAGTTCAGCTTCTCCTATTATTTGCTCAGCATATAGATTGGACAGGTACGGTGAAAGGCTATCTAAGGCGCTGCACACCTGGTTTAAAATCACACAGCATTCCCTCCATCTGCTGGAATGCCTACCCTTTGCTCTCAGGAGCCTGGGAAAGCTGCACTCCCACCACGAAGGCTTAGCCTCTGTGATGGCTTGAATCCACCAGCAGCTCTGAGTCCCTGTGCAGTTTAAATGCTTAGAAACCAAATGCAGGGCCAGCTAGTTCTGATTCAATGGCAGTAGAGTACCTTCCTGGTCTATGTAGAAGGTCTCTATGAAGATAGTTCTGTGTTCTGGGATCCCCATTCGTCTCAATGGTAACCACAATTTGTTAAGATCCACACAATCAAATGCTTTTGCACAGTCCACAAATCACAACACGCTTCTGGAATTCTCTACTGGCAGCCAGGATCTGCCTGACCAACCAGAGGCCCTGCTCTACATCCTCTCTGAATCCCACTCCAACGCCTGCCAGCTCCCATCAGGGTGTGATGGGAACTGCAGGTTCTCAGGGCCCCAGAGCTTGCACAGATCACAGACTAGGGTCCAGGAATCTACATTTCCACCAGACCCACTGCCACTGACCCGTGCTGGCCCCAGCAGCCCTGCAGGGCAGGGAGGACTGTCCCAGGGGCTTCCCAAGGTTGTACGTCTTTGTTCTTTTTCCAGGACGCAGCTTGTGGCTTCAATCACCAATCTCCTGGTTACCATCTGTGTGTTTTAAGCACTGTGTCACCAATGCAGGCTTGGTTAGTGATAGTGACATAGGAACTCAGAGCCGTGAGGACACTAGCTTTTCTGGAGCAGAAGCATCACCATTTGACAGCGGGAATTTTCACAAGTGGCTTGGTGGTAAGGAGCTGCACGGCCATCCCCAGAGCATATGGTTCGAATCCATCTGCTGCCCTGCAGAAGAAAGAGGGGTAATCTCTTCCTGTGGGATTAACTGCCTCTGAAAACCTGCTGGAGAGTCAGCTGTGAGTTTGTTTGACTCAGTGATACACACAGCAACAAGAAGAATTCAGAAGCACACTCAGTGGTATTTTATTCCTTCTGTGAGACTGAATATATTTATGCCGTGTAATTTTACGTTCTTCTTCCAGCTGTACGTCTGGAGCTCCGTGCCCACCAAGCCCCGGAGGACTGGCCCAAGAGCTGTAAGAACAGACCCAGAGGGCCACTGTGCTCTCTGCCACTGAACATGGGTGGTGGTGGTTGGACCATTAAGTCGGAACCGACCCGTAACTGACCCTCTGGTGGGTTTTCAGAGACACGGGAGGAGATCGCCCATCCTTCTCCCACGGAGCAGCTGGTGGCCTCGAACTACGTCCCTTCAGGATTACAGCACAGCTTCTTGCCACAAGACTTCATTCCTGGGTCTCCCACACCCTCTCTATCACTTTATACTTACTTACTGCTTTTTTATTTAAAGGTGTGAGGAAAGTTGCAGATTTAAAAGCACAGAAGACATTTCAAAATTCACTGCATCTTAAAATACAATAAAGCATTTCTGGCTCTATTTCCCTAAAAACAGCTGGCCAATATGGGGGTTCAGAGTTAAGCCTGGAGAGAGGCTCCTTACGTGGACTAGGGGTTCCCACTGAAGACCCCCTGGAGGAACCTCCCTGCCCGCCAAACCTCTCACAATACCGGCTTAGCCACTGTGCCCTGCTCCTTGGAGACCTGCTCGCCAGCGCCCCCACCCTGTGCATCCTGCTTGGTGGGCACCTGCTGTGGACCAGCCCCCACCCCATCGGGTTTCTGAAGCTCTGAATCTTAAGGAGAGAAGACTGCTACACCTTTAAACCAGAGAGGCTGCTGGGTCCCTGTGATGGCCACTCTTCTGGACCTTCTAATATACATGGACCTCAAGAGATTTACATTTCATTATATAAACTTAGAGAAGGAGCCGTAGTGGAGCAAGTGTTAAGCAGTTAGTTGCCAGATGAGAGGCTGCTGGTTGGGAGCCACTCATTGCTGACGCTGAGGGAAGGTCTGATGTGCTTCCAGGAAGTTCACAGCCGAGAACACTCTACAGGGCACTCCTGTCCTGCCATGGGGTGGTCATGAGTCAGGACCGACTTGCCAAGCCCTGACAGTGACAGTGAAGGTGAGGTCTTCCCTCTGAGGTTTCAACACCAAACACTGTGTCTAGTCCTACTCTCTGTGAGCAGAGAGAGGAATCAAGAAAGAGGTGATGCTCTTCCTGCCATCTCTCCGTGCCACCACTATGGAGCACACGAACGTCCTGGCCTCGTGCTCAAGAGCATCAACGATGCCGAGAAGAGAGGCAAGCGCCAGCATCTCATCAGGCCGGGCTCCAAAGTCACCGATCGGTTCCTGACCGTGATGATGAAGCGTGGCTACACTGGTGAATTTGAGATCACTGATGATCACAGAGCAGGGAAAATTGTTGTCAACCTCACAGGCGGGTAAACAAGTGTGGTGCTATCAGCCCCAGATTCGATGTGCAGCTCAAAGATCTAGAAAAGTGGCACGATCATCTGCTCCCGTCCCGTCAGTTCACTTTCATTGTGCTGACAACCTCAGCTGGCGTCACAGACCACGGGGAAGCAAGATGAAACACACAGGAGGAAAATCCTGGGATTCTTTTTCTAGGGATGTAATAAACAATGCAAGTAAAAAGCCTCAATGGAAGACAAAGACGAAGTCGAAGACAAAGAAAAAGGTGTCAAGGAGAGGGGGGGTACGTGGTCTTCTAAAGGCAGCTGACGAAAAGACCTGGAGGTATGTAAGCTAAGCACTGGACTGCTAACCCAAAGGTCAGCACTTCAAACCCACCCAGCTGCTCTTCAGGAGAAAGAAGCTGCAGACTGTTTCAGGAACGACTGGGAACCCAGTGAGGCGGTACTTCATGTCAGAAATGACTTCACGACGGTGCACTGGGGATGGGGGTAGGACACCTACCACTTTTAACACGAGGCCCTTATTTAAAAAAAAAAGAAAAAGGTAAGGGAAATAGGAGACCTGGAATCAGGCCAAGCCGAGTGCAAGTGAAGAGAACGTTGGCACACTGTCACACACCTGTCCCTGAACAGTGAGGGCACAAAGTGCCACACGGGAACCTCATCTACTGGCTCAACTTTCACCAAAAATACAAGAAATAATCTATTTTTTTAAGCAACCCCATCTTTTGAAACAAGTATCTTCCCAAATTAAGCTATTTCAGAGAGAAGCTCCATTTGCCCCTAGCACGGGGTTAACTAAAGGAGGCTTTGCAGGCGGACTACTTTGATCTCAGATAAAACAAACTGATGCGACGTTTGATGTAAAAAGGAAGAAGGAAATAATCTCATACTCTGAAAGGAACGCTCACGGGTGGAAACGAGGTCAAACAAACAGCTTCTGCCTGTCTGCGGTGGGGACCCTATGGTGCACCCCGAAACCCTCCTCCTGACATCTTCCTTCCTCATGGGC